GTATTTTTCTTGTTGGCCACTGAATATTGCCATTTGACAGTATTTACATTTGAAAGTGCTCTCCAGAGTGCATTTTACTCTTTTCACAGTGCTTGCAAATTTTTAATCACACAACCCACATTTTAACCACCAACCCCCCTCCAAAAGAAGAGTAGAATCAGGCATTAACCTACACCAAGTTGGTTATACTTTGTAGCTATTTAACAGCAGCTTTGTAGAAATCTGCTTGTAATTTAACCATAGCAAGCTTGCTAATCAATTACAGCTTATATACAACTAAGCGGAGCTATTCTATTATCATATATGAGTGTATACAAATGCCCCAGACTACCTCCATCTAGTGAGTTATACATTGTAGCCAATATAACAGCAGCTTGCCAGAGATCTGTGCATTACTCAATTATACCAAGCTTGCTGATTTACTGTAGCTAGTATACAGATAAGCGGAGCTATTCTATCATCATTTAAAGGTGTATATAAATACTTCTCATCACCTCCACCAAGTTTGCTATACTTTGTAGCTGCTTGGCAGTTGCTTGTAAAAGATCCATCCACTTGCAACTTGTTCAGCAAGCTTTACTGGTCAACAACAGCTTGTATGCAGCTAAGCGGAATTACTCTACTGTCATTTATAGGTGTATATAAACACACTACATTATCTCCACCAAGTTTGTTCTGCTGAAACAGCTAGATCAACACCTGATTGTGCAGTTGTGTGCAAACAGTTCATGCCCGATTGTGCCACTGTGCACAATCGGGTATAAGTACTGTACCTACCCAATGTAGATTAAATGTCTCAAGCATGCAAAGAGCTCATGCCCGATTGTGCCACTGTGCATAATCGGGTATATCAGTGTTAATGTTCCTGTGTTATTTATCATCCAGCTTCATTACCTTTTCTTATTTTCAAGTTGTGCATGCCATAAGGCATCTTCTAACCCAGAAAGGACCTCTGTTTGGAGGGTATAATCACGTGACCCAGAAATAGCGCCGACCGAGGCGCTTATCGTCCCGGCGGCTATCGAGCGCATCTGATGCGCCTGATGGCGGCGGGCGGTGATGGCGGATCATCCCGCCCCACGAACGTCGGGCTGACGTCGGTGATGCGCCTTACGGCCATCAGCGGGCGGTCCCCCGACGATCTGGATCCACCACGTGACTATGACGTCATACATACGTCATCTTTTGACCGCGCTAACCAGTCTTAAGTCGCATCAAAGTGGTCCTGCTGACCATTCCCATATAGTATGCCCGAGCCTCTGACAAGGTTAGAATGACTCCATCCGCCAATTTCGCCAAGGGCCGGCCAATCACATCGCGGATAGTCATAATGCCCATTACGCACCCGTCCGACGGCTTCGGCTTCGGCACGCGGTGTCCATGGTACTGCCCCCCCCCCCTCTCCGGGGTCCCATGGCGCAAGGTATAAGTACTTCCTGGAATGCGCTGATGAGTGTCACCACGAAAGCCTCCAGAACTCCTCACAGAGTTCGGACCTTCGCCTTCCAGTTTCACCTCAGCAACGTCACCTCGCCTCGCTTCGCTCGGCTCGGCTCCCCCCAACCCCAAACTCCGCTTTTGGAGTGCAGATAGTCGCGAGAGCATCCGTGAATGATGCCTTGATGGCTGAACAGCAATCAGCAACAGTGTTCAGAGCCCATGCAGACAAACTTCGTTGCTCCTGCTCGGTTCTAGCCCTGTCGTGATCTTCGACCCCAGACTCACCGTTGTGAACGCCGCTCAACACGATTACGGAGATTGTGATCAGTCTATGCGCGGAGTGGTCAGCCTGTGCGCATGGTGGTCAGTAGCCATCAACAGGGCATTAAATGATCATTGATGGGGTAGTCAAACTGTACACAGGGCGGTCAGACTGTACGCAGGGTGGTTAGCCTGGACGTGGTCAGACTGGTGTGACTATTGGGACATGTCATGTTGAGTCGCGTGAGTTGTGCGGCGCCACATCTGTTCATCGCTGCGTCTGTTCATCGTCCACCATCTCTGCTACCCGCTATCTGTTAACCTAGATTGAGGGAATGTCTGTAGAAGATGGAATGTGAGTAACATAAACTCTCATTCACTGATCCCACACGCTGTGCTGATGTGCTTTATGCCACGTCAGCCTCCGAACATAGTCTACTCTCCATAGATACCGGCGACTCATGGCTCAGCTTGGCACCTTGGACAGCTCCCTTTCCACAGCAACAAAATTGGCCGGTCCCTGCTTGAGTACCCGTCCGAGTTCCGTACCTGCTCTGAAGATTCTGGCCGCAGGTGCACCACTTACCGTGCTGACGGCGCAGCTACACCGCACACTCGAGCTGCTGCACCAGCTCCTTCAGCCAGAGCATGCTACCAACACGTCTCAAGGCCACAATCCTGCAGCATATAATTAGCTCTGCAGCCTGCTGTGGTGAGTCTCTCACGCACCTTTCCCACAATCCGCCACATGTGCTGATTGCTGATTGTCTCTTCGTCCTCCTTGAAGCGACAATGCGGGCTCGAGCACACCATGCACATCAACTGATGACCCGCTAGCTGTCACACGCCTGTCTCCAGACCTCAACCATGGATGCATTACTCGTCACACATAGCCCTGCTACAGTAAGAACTTGAGCTTCACCGGCAGCTGTCCAAGTATGGCAATCGGCTGACGTCGCGCAGCACAAGAACGAGCAGCTCACTGACCTTGACATGGTGAGTCTCTTGCACACGTTTAATGCTTCGCGTATACTGATGGCCTCTTTGTCCATCTTGCAGCAGTCGAGCATGAGAGGATACATCACCTACGTCAGCCGAAGGATTCGCCGCTGCCGTAAAGCAAGTTTCTTTTGCCCGTCTCTGTGGGGAATTGGACAGGCGTGGATAAGCAGCATTCACAACAACTCGCCAGCGATCTCAGCATCAGCAGCCGGCAAGACTCGTGCTTCGTTGAGGAACAGTAGCTTGGGCACATATCATAAGCTGCATAATATCAACCACCTTTGTGTTGTTTAGTGCAGATTGTATTCCGTCGACATGTAGCCTCGTGCTCAATTTATTGATGTCAATGTGTGAGCCTGTAATGGTTGCGATGTGAACATCCATCCTTATCCGGAGTGGCATAGACTGGTCTGACCACTCAGACCGATGGGGCGATGGCTGCACAGATCAAGCTAGACAGGCCTGTGCCCATACGGACCATAGCGCCGCAAGGTCTATATTGATCACCACTACTACAGACATGATGGCTGTGGGTCTGGATGGTCCAGACAGGGGGGTGTATACAGCGGTCTGAGTGGTATGGACCGGTCTCACTGGTCTAACTCACTTGGCGTTTTTCCAGATGCATGCTCACTGTCTGGATTACATATTCTTGCTCAGTTGACAAGGAGGAAGACTGGCTGACAGCATTATGAGCACATCAGCTGGTTGCATCACTCGAATATTCCAACTGCCTTTGAGGTAATTCATTATAAATCATTATATGAGTTTTTTAAATCCCCTGGGTCATGCCCACCCCTTCCATAAATAGTTGAAGAAACCTACATAGGTGCGGTGGCCGTTAACAAAACCAAATACACCTGCGTCGAGCTGCCAAAGCATAAGCGCTACTACTTCTTGGGGTAGTCAGAGTGTGCCCTAGAGCCTCCAGGGTGTGTCCTGGGGTCTTCAGGTTGGGCCGACGGGGAATATTATGATACGCATCGCGAGCAATGTGAGCAAAGAGCTCCAGAGGGAGCCTGCAGCTGGGTGGCACTCCTTATCCCTCTTTTCTTCCCTCTCTCGCCCTGGCTGATTCTGGACAACCACCTGGCAAGGGTCCCGCTGCTGCAATGGCCAAACAACGCGATCTCCAAGCTGCTCACGGTAGTCTCACTTTCTGATAAGATGGTGCTCTAGCACTCTAGTATCAAGCCTCTCACTTACATCCAGACTGCAGAATTATATTCTGGCAGGATTATGCCCGTCTTTCGACACGTACAAGATCTGAGCACCATTGCCATGTGACTGAAACTCCCTCGTGCTAATCTCGCCGAATTGCCGTACCACATCCAGACTCTTGTAAGTCCTGCCGCGTTACTACAGCTCTGCCATGGAGCACGACAAAGACGGTGCGAATAAGTTCTCTAACTTGTCCTTGATGCGCAGACCGAAGTTGAGGAAGGTGGCGCAGACAACAGACGCGAAGCCCGCAACAGCCGTAGCCCTAGGTTCGGTACGGCCCGAGCAATTATTCTCCCGCTGCTGTACGTGGTTTCAAACTCTTGCATGGTTCAAAATTAAGTTTCTCCACCTTTGTTGTCTTTTCCCCCAACTTCATCTGCGATGTCTCCAGGCGTGACGGCACGCGAGCAACCTCTCTTATGCGGGAAGCTAGTAACTTGCAATTCCAGAGACGAGCTTACAATTCAGATACCCTGCGATACCGAATTCAAGGTTGGTAGCGATCGAGAGTGATGCCATGTTCGATTATATGACTGTCATAATCTAAATGAGACATCCAACCCCCAGCCACGAATTGTGTCCCTCGTTAACAATCAGTATAGACCCCTTGCATTGTATCTTTACTGGGAGACTGGACAGGCTATCCTTCGGTCAGAAGCTGTTCAGGGTTTTTGTAAAAAAAATATCAGCTATCATGGCACATATGTGGGTTTCCAGCATGTCAACTTATGGACCACACAACACGTAGGTATATCAGGTTAACGGAGAGCATGCAACAAGTGACGATCCCGGATTACGTCTTGACGGTGGTGCAACGATCTCTTTTGGTGGTGTAGACAGACAAGTCTTATGTGAGCACTTCTTCATTCACAATAATGTTATTGATGCAATGTCCCTTCCCAGCTTGCGTATTTCATCTGTACCAGCCGGACACAGTGCGTTTTATTAGTACGGCATCACCAATCTTCAAAGCTCAAATCGTCGCGCTAGGTTAAATCCCTCTTCAAAGTGATTGGAAGGTGATTCAAACAGATACGATACAATTGTTGAATACAAATACGCTGCTGACGACAATGTCTAGCTTAGGCTCAGGCGCAAGTGGCCAAGTCTTTCGTGCAATCAGTCGGAAAACAAGCAAGCAAGTTGCTATCAAGGTCGTTGAGAATCAATTCGCATACGGGCATCTCGTGAACGACGGAAAAAACGAGTACGAACTTCTGAAAAAGGCGAATCATGTACATCTGCAGTCATACCATGCGGAGAATCTGATCCTCAAGTTATCATCGTAGAATAATGTCGTGAAGCTGCGCGCCATTTTCAGCAACAGACGAGCTGTATGTAAGCTTCAAATCTTACCATCATTTTTAGTAAGTTCCTCATTATCTGAACAATGATCTATAGATATTGTCATGGACTTAGCGATATGCGACGTGCATAAGCTTATTGGAAATCACGAGCTTGGTACGTCTCACATAGGGGTACTGAATTATTCTCAATTCATGTTCGCAACTATTGTCTTTTAGCGGAGCTTGACGCGAAAGCCATTGCGAGGCAAGCTTGTGATGGGCTGCGGTACTTGCATGACCTCAGAATAATACACATAGATGTAAAGCCCGGCGTAAGTCGTGTAGGCCACGTATTTGACGATCGTTCCTCATACATTTTGCCATCATCCAGAATATTTTGGTGTACTCCTTAAACCCGGCTCTCGTGAAATTGACCGACTTTGGTCTGTCGCGGATTGTCACAGGCGATACCGCTCTACAGGTGGGCAAAACGATCTGGTCAATGAGATGTACTCAAACGTCCGCAGACACTTTGTAGTACTCCCGCTTTTGCTACACCTGAGGTCGTTCTTTGTGGCTACTCTTGGAGCGAGCACTACGACGAGAAAGTTGACGCATTCTCTATGGGCGTTACCATCTTTAATATGTACTACGTGTCCATTCATTTACTTAAGAGCATAGTCTGACATGATATATCTATAGGATCACTGCTCAGTTCCCTTGGAACGATGTCTGCATTCAGGTGGACCCTACGGGCGTCGGCCTTGATCGCAGAGAACTCCGTTGGTGCGGAGAATTAAGGGACTATGGTACGTGCATTCCTCTGTCTTCTGGTCTGAGCTGCCTATGAATTGGAATTGCCGAACAGCAAAGGACATCATTACTAGGCTTCTCGCGCGGTCTCCCAAGGATCGTCTGGCCGCTGCTGAGGCTATATCGCACGACTGGTTTCAGGACGCCGACAGGCCTGTTCTCACAGAAAAGGCCGAAATCATTAATCCGCTGGGTCTCCCGGCTAGTGTAATGCTGAAGGGGCAGCCTGTACCCGTGATCAAAAACACTGATCGACCAGGGATGCCCTAGTTACTCTTATCTCTGTTCACTCGATTTTACGGTTCTGATGCGTTGTTCGATGTCCTCTCGCATACAATTATGCAACAGATGCCTGCCTCAGCCGCGTGTGTGCTACTCTGCATGTTCCTCTGCAAGCACCCAGCAGTCCAGCCTACTCTCTCCTTAGATAGGACTTAGCTTTTGTCCGAGGTCTAGTAACGTTACTACGGTATAATCACCCCAATTAGGCAACATCAGCGCGCTCCCCAGACTTCTCAGGCTCAGATCTCTCGCTGTC